GAAATATGAGCCATGACAAAGATAAAGGGAAGGAAAAAAGGAAGAATAGTAGACAGAAGTGATGGTAAAGATAACGGAAAAGAAAGAAAGAAAGAAAGAAAAGAAAAGAAAGAAAAGAAAGACAAATATGAATCATGACAAAAAGATAATGGGGGAAAAAAGGAAGAATAGCAGACAGAAGTGATGGTAAAGATAACGGAAAAGAAAGAAAGAAAGAAAGAAAGAAAGAAAGAAAGAAAGAAAGAAAGACAAATATGAATCATAACAAAGATAATGGGAAGGAAAAAAGGAAGAATAGCAGACAGAAGTGATGGTAAAGATAACGGAAAAGAAAGAAAGAAAAAGAAAAGAAAAGAAAGAAAGAAAGAAAGAAAGAAAGACAAATATGAGTCATGACAAAGATAATGGGAAGAAAAAAGGAAGAATAGCAGACAGAAGTGATGGTAAAGATAACGGAAAAGAAAGAAAGAAAAGAAAGAAAGAAAAGAAAGAAAGAAAAGACAAATATGAATCATGACAAAAGATAATGGGAAGGAAAAAAGGAAGAATAGCAGACAGAAGTGATGGTAAAGATAACGGAAAAGAAAAAAAAAAAGAAAGAAAGAAAGAAAGAAAGAAAGAAAGAAAGAAAGATTGTAGAACAGAATAAACGACAGACGTGAGTGATGAAGGAATGACAGACATGGGTTATATTGAATATAATTGAAACGAAAGAAAAAAATGCCACACATAAATGGTGATAAAGATTATTGATAATAAATAAAGAAATAAAGAAAGAAACAAAATAAGAAATTATGCCAGACATAAGTCGTGGTAAATATTATTGAAAACAAAGAAAGGAGGACAGAAAGAAAGAAAGAAAGAATAATAACAGATGTCATGGTAAAGTTAATTGAAAAGAAAAGAAAGAAAAAAACAGAAAGAAATAAGAAACAGTGAAAGAATGAATGATAGACACGAGTTATGATAAATATAATTGACAAGAAAGAAAGAAGGAAAGAAAGAATAAGAGACAAGAGAGATAGGAAAGATTATTGACAAGAAAGAAAAATAAATAAATAAAAAATGAATGAATGAAAGAAAGAGGTAGAGAAAGAATGATAGGAAGGATTGGTGGTAAAAATTATTGCAAAGAAAGTAAGTAAGCAACCATGAAAGGAAGAAATCCAGATGTGAGCGGTGATAAAGATTATTGACCAGAAGAAAAAGAAAGAAAGAAAGTAATGAGTTAAAAGAGTTCAAACTAAGACACAGGCACCGCGTCAGCTCTTGATACATTGATACCTCGGCTTAAGTCATTTTCGAAGATACGTCGGTATTTCTTAAAGATTATATGAAAAAAATAAAACTCACCTGACGTCGTTTTACTCAAATTTATGTCGGCCATTAAAAATATTAGAAACGTCAAAGCGCTAAAAATGCAATAAGCAAATATAAAATCATATTTAAATAAATTTTAAAAAATAAAATTTTATATATATATATATATATATATATATATATATATATATATATATATATATATATATATATATATATATATATATATATATATATATATATATTATGAATACTATATATATATATATATATTATGAATACTATATGTATAAGTATTATGAATACTATATATATATATATATATATATTATGAATACTATATATATATATTCAATAATATATATATATATATATATATATATATGATAAAATCATCAAAAACAAAGAGATTACCATAATAAAACATGTTCAGCATGTTTTATTTCAAAGCACCGATTTTGAATTGTCTTCTTTACATCTGTACTCTGCCGTTGACGATATTTTAGTTAAATTTCAGTTGTGATTCCGAACGGATTCTTTCCCATGTTGCCGAAGAAAAGTCCTAGTACGAGTGCTAATGCTAAGGTTACGGCTATATCCCTGGAAGTTAAGGTGGAAAATGAATCATTTTATTCAGAATACTATGGGAACATATCATAAATCATGTAATAGGCAATGTTTTATAGTGTGTTTATTTCGTGACCTCTTGAAACAATTATCGATGTTGCGTGAAGTATACCTGTATTGAGTGGTATTAGTGACTTGACCCTCATACGTCGAATTCGACGTATAAGGGTCAAGCAGATCAGTTCCTAGGAAACCGACAGCCCGACAACAGCACATGAGATTTGATTATAGTGGTGAAGGTTTCGTGCAGGACCATCCACACTTAAGGGTCAAATACAGACAACTGGTGAACTACGTGCCACAAGGTCCACAAACGACCCTCCGCAGGTTTTGAATTGAGAGTTCTCCTTCTCCTAGACCAGTTGCCCTCCAAGGCTATAGGACCCAGTCTGTCCTGCTATTTACCCATAGCTGGAGGGAGAAGAAGAGGATTTCCCAAGGGTATTAGCACGTAAGTGAATGTAATGAATTCGACTGGAATTCGAACTCGGCTCTCCGATTCCTCAATCCAAGTCACACATCTAGAAGGTCTGTATGAACAGCATCATTTTCG